TTTAACTTTTAACAAACCTCTTAATTTATTCATCTTTACAAATGAAAAACAGTAAAAAATTGCTACAGCTTTAAATTCTGTATTTTCTTCTTTGCAAATGTAAGAAAAATTTTGTTCTACCTGTCTTAACTTTTATGTAATGAATTTTTAAAAAGTGCATGTTTTCGTAAAAAAATTTCTTATTTCTAAAACTAAGCGAAATCGACTAATAAAAATTTAGCCTAAAAATATTGTTTTAAAAGGCTACATCCAAGAATGCCAAGAAATCGTAACTTTTTTTTGGGACATGCTGTATAGTTGAAAATAATTTTAGGTGATACACTAGATTAGTATCTAGCAATGTCCTATACATTTTTTTAAAATTTTACCATTTAGAGGTCACTAATGAACTTTTTCAACTCGCTGGGACATCCTGTATAGTATTAACATGTTTATATTATTTTTATTATCTCTTGATACTGATGTAAAATAAAATTTACGGAAAACCCATTAAATACCTACAAAAAACAATGAAATTAGAAACATACGTTAATGGAAGAAAAAAAATTCTAGGTATTGGGTTTTCAAAGGTTTTCATTTATTGACCACTATTTTTTTGTATTACTTAATGTGAATTAATAATAATTATAAATCTGTTTGTAGTATAAAGTTTCTACGACTAGTATTTTTCAAGTTTTCAATTTGAATTTTTTAAATTAATAAATTTTGAAATTAACTAATTACTATCAAGCATTTTTCTTATTGTTTTATAACAGTTTTCAAGTATTTTTAAATTTTTAATCAGTACTGTTTTAAATTGATAAAGATTTATAATTCTGTCTCATCCAGCATTAGAAATATGTGTATGATTTTTTTTTTGACACAAAAATAAACTAAATGTGGCAAACTAAAGTAAAAAAGCAAATTGTTGAATTACAATAAAATTCCAGTCTAATTAAGTCGCTCACAGACGAGAAAAGTTCGACGTGAAAGATTTTCTTCAATAGAAATTAAATCTCAGAAGCTTCGTTGGTTTGAATGTAATTTGACGATAAATTACGCTTTAGAAATTAAACCTTCGCAAACAAACAACGATATTAACGAAATGTTAATACACTAATTTCTAGAAAATAAAAAATAAATTGACTGTCGTCTCTCGTCTGGAGTTTGCGGACAAATATAGGGTTATTCATAAATATGAAGCAATATTTGAACCTCAAAAATGACCTATAAAATGATGTTAATAATAATAAATAATAACTCGAATTTTATTAACACTAATTTTTTATTGCTTAAATCTAAAGAATAATCAATTTCGATTAAAAAACGCATAACCTTTTATACCACTTTAAACTAAAACATCTTTAAAACGATCCATTCTAGAGATATTAAAGGTTATGCGTTTTTTATTCAAAATTGATTACTCTATTGTTTTCACCAAAAAAAAAAAAATAATGTTAAGAGGCCAAAAAAAAAACGAAAAAACAGAAAATATGACCTACAATTGATGAAACTGAAAATTGAGTAAATGTATCCGATTTTCGTAATTACTAGTTTAGAAGTTATTACAAAAAAAATAAATTTCCATACTCACATTCCGAGGGTTGAAAAGTCTTATCAATAGAGTTCGGACACAAGTTATTATTTATTATTTAAATTAAAATAATTTTATAGCTCATTTCTGAGGTTCAAATATTGCTTCATATTTATGAAAAACTCTATATGTTGCATGAAAGTGTCAATGACAAACATATTTGTACAAAATTCCGTAAAAATTTAAGCGCATGACAGTTGACTATTTCGGAAGTGAAATCTGGTGGATGCTAAATTCAAAACCGACGCTGCGCGTCCGTCAGTAGCTTTAACGTCTACTTCGAAGAAAGACGTGAATTTTGTTCCTTCCAATCAAGAGCCAAAAGACAATAAGTTGAAAAATAAAAATTTACTTGCGAGGTGACCTAAATTAACACTATCGGTAAGATTGTTTTTCAGTCCCACTTGGTTCTTTAATTTTAGAGCTTTAATAAAGCTTTGCTCCCCAGTAATTGGTTACATTTTATCGCGTCCACCAGTGTTGTATAAAAAAGTGAACAATTAAAAGTTCGATAATTAACATTTTAAAATATTCGTTGGATTAAATAGGGAAAAAAGCTGGCAAACTAATTTCATTGTGTTTAATGATCAGATGTTAATTACTGGACAGCTTTATGAAGATAATTACTGACATCAGTAACTGCGCTCATTTGAAAAATTGCAAAACTGAATTAGATTAGCGTTTATTTTTGTCATTTTCCGGGATTAATGAAAATTTATTTTTACGTTTTAAACACTTCAAAAGTATTTTCAACCGGTTTATACGTAATTGTTGAAAAATACAGTTGAGAAGATTTATTATTTTACCCTTGCTCACTTACGTGCATTTCCTGCTGCACTACCTTTGATTTGATAAAGTTTACATTTAAACTCTTTCGTTGGTTAACTGACTTTTGACTGACAAAACAATTTATTCAATTAGATTTACACAACATGTGTTATGATAATAGTAAGTTAAAAAGATTTAAATGAACTAACAAGACTTTCAATTTTAATTAGGGTACATTTTATTAAACATACAGGTGGTCCAAAAGTCTGGAAATGATTTTATTCTGGTGAAACTATCAATTTTTTTGGCAAATAAATAATAACATTTTCAATAAATATTTAAATATATAAATATTTTTGTAGATTTATAAATTGCATATACATATTTTTGTAAAACAAATTTAAGAAAAAAAATATTAGTATAGTAATCCCAAAAGTTTAAACAATTAATTAAAATAGAAAATATTTTGGCATCGCTCCTTTACAACCTTTAAACATTTATTAATTTATTTCCAAAAAAACTGGTAGTTCACTTTAAAAAAATCCTTTAATTTTTGTAAGTCAACTATTTTTTTAACAAAAAAAGTGTGAGATTTACAAAAAAAACAATTCTTATAATAAGCTTGTTGTCTAAAAAAAATTGTGGTAGGTTTCCATTAAAAAAAATGTTACTATGTTTATCTCGTAAGTAGAAACAATTAATTAATATTTAAATTTATTTTTGAATAATATTTTTATGTAAAATTATTTGTCAAAAAAATCGATAGTAGCGCCAGAATATAACCAGATTTTTGGATCAGCTTGTATATCATTACACATTAAATATGGATCTTTATCTAGTTATATTTTACTAAATTTCTTAACTTTTTTTGAAAAAATCTCTGTCTAATTTTTATTCTAGTTGGTTTTATAACTGACTGAAAGTCATATTTTCTTACGTTATATTATATAAATTATATGCAGCTGTGTTTATCTTTGAGTGCAGGCTAAACTAAAGTTAAATGTAATATTCTATTTTAATTCATTTAGAGCAAACTTTTTTTGTATTCTAATTCTAATAAATTTATTGTGTAGGACGGATTAGGTACGATTTTTTTCTAAAAATGCAAAATTAATGTAATACTTTAGAGAAGGGTAATTCACTCTACAACAATTTTTCTAAGCTTGAGGAATCATCAAAAATTAATAAATCGAGTCACAAGTATGATGTGTTACTTAGATCTAATTAAAAAAAGTTTATTTGGTTGTGGTTTTAACTTAGATTTCAGTTTCAGTAAAGTAGGATATTGACACTCACCAAATTGATTGTTTATCGTGTTGCGGATATTGTGTTGTGTTGCACCGGATATTCAACTCTAGAGATTTGGTTTAGAGATTTGAGTGAGTTTACAGAAAGTGAATTAAATCCTTCAAAATCAAAATCCTGAAATCTGATTGGTTAAATATTTAATTGGGCTTTTACAAACCCACCTTTAGTCCTGTTTCTTTACGTAGGAAAAGTAAAAAGGATCAAATCTCAAAAAAGTGCAAAATTTATACCCCCATTATTTCGAAATTCTTATAGATAGATTTTTTTAAACACTCTGTATAACAGACTTCTTCAATATAAAGAAAAATAGATGTATAATATAAAATTTGAAGGTATTCCTGCAAAAATGTAATTCAGAGAAAGAAAATGTTTTACGATTTCTAGAAAACAATTATGAAAATCTTTTTTTAGCACATCTCTAGAGTGAAGTAAGAAAAGTTTGAAATCTTTATTGTTGAAGTATTTTTGGCCAACGTTTTGAAAAATAAATAGTAAAATTTGTAGTTTTAGTTTCCAATAGGAGAAAGATCAAATAAGAGTCAAAGTCGCTACAATCAATCAAAGAAAACTGATTTACTGCGAAGTTTATAACATTAACAAATAAATATCACTTATGTTTACTCTACACTGCTTTGATTATGTTTGCTTCCTTGATGGTAAACCTGCGTTGCTTCTTTCAGAAATGTTTAATTTTGTGTAAATACTGATTATTTAGTGTAGATGACGCCTAAGCACTTATTTATGTAAAGAATTTTGTGCCACATGAATATTATTTTCACAACATGAAATATCAAAATTTTTAATTGAGCTTTAATTGAATTACACAATTATTTCAATTGCAATTTATAAATTGAAAAAAAAAGTAGTATATACATATGTATTTTTTTTCGTTTGTTCTATTAATTAAGTTACAGGTAAAATATTTTTATATTTATTAT